AATGAAACTATGAACAGAGAAACAATAAAGAATGCAACCAAAAATTGTTTTTTTGAGAAGCTTAATAAAATTGGTAATCCTCTAACCCAGTGGTTCTCAACCTTCTGGCCCTTTAAATACAGTTCCTCATGTTGTGACCCAACCATAAAATTATTTTCGTTGCTACTTCATACTGTAATGTTGCTACTGTTATGAATCATAATGTGAATATCTGATATGCAGGATGGTCTTAGGCGACCCCTGTGAAAGGGTTGTTCGACCGCCAAAGGGGTCGCGACCCACAGGTTGAGAACCGCTGCTCTAACCAGACTGACCAAGAAAAGATAGAAGAATCGGATTACCAATATCAGGAGTGATAGAGGTGACATCACTATAGATTCTATAGATATGAAAAAGATAATAAGGAAATATTGTAAACAACTTCATGCCAACTATGTGGCATCTTAAGTGAAGTAGATAAACTTGAAAGTCAAACTACCAAAGCTTTCTCAAGAAGAAATAGATAATGGAATAGCCCTAACTCTAGTAAAGAAATGGAAATTATAGTTAAAACCTCTCTCTCTTTCTCTCTCTACCAATAACAAAACTCCAGGTTCAGCCCTAGCCAGCTTGGCTCAGTGGATAGAGCGTCAGCCTGTGGACTGAAGGGTCCCAGGTTCGATTCCGGCCGAGGGCACATGCCTGGGTTGCGGGCTCGTTCCCCAGTAGAGGGTGTGCGGGAGGCAGCCAGTCAATGATTCCCTCTCATCATTGATGTTTCTATCTCTCTCTCCTTCTTCCTTCCTCTCTGAAATCAATAAAGAAATATATTTAAAAAAGCAAACAAACAAAAAACTCCAGGTCCAAAGGCTTTACTGATGTATCTTTATGTTTAAGGAAGAAATAATATTAATTTTATTCAAACGCTTTCAGAAAAGTAAAGAGAAAAGAATACTTAACTCTGACACCAAAGCCAAAAAAATTCATGAAAAAAGTATAATCTGAAATCTATCATGAACATAAATGTAATAATTTTTAAAGTTTTAGGAAATTGAATCCAACATATGTAAAAATGATAATATGTCATGGCTAAATGCATTTTATCCCAGAAAAGCAAGACTTATTCAACATTTAAAAGGCAATTAAGTTGATCACTATCACTTCAATAGAAGGCAGAAGTAGCACTTGAATAATTTCAGCAACCCTTTCTGATTAAGAAAGAAAATAATTTATTAAATTAGGAATAGAAGGGACTTCCTCAGTTTGATAAAAGGCACCTATGGAAAACATACAGGTAATAGTATTTTTAGTGGTGAAAAACTGAACGCTACCCCATTACAATTAGAAAAAGGAAAGGATGTCTGCTTTCACTACTTTTGTTCAATATTGTATGGAAGGAATGTTCTAGCTAGTGCAGTGAAGCAAGAAAAAGAAATAAAAGACACACAGATTGCAATGGAAGAAGTAAAACAGCCGTTCTTCACAGAGGAGGACTCATGCCACCTGATTTTAAGACTATAAAGATGCAGTAATCAAGTTAATGTAATATTAGGTGAAGAGAGACAAACAGATGAGTGGAACAGAAATAATTAAGAACTTGACCCAGCCAACTGTGGTCAGTACAGTTTTGATACAGGTGCCGAAGCACTTCAATAGGAATCACGATTTTTTACAACAAATTTAGATAGCCTCTTGTCAAAAAACAAACAAAAGACAATTGAACCTTCTAGTATACTTATTTCTTGCTATGTATAAAAATAACGTAAAATTAAGCGTAGACCTAAGAATTAAAACTATAAAATTCTAGAAGAAAACACAGGAGAAAGTCTTAGTGACCTTGAGTTTTTCAAAGAGTTCTTAAATACAACACAAAAAGCATTAGTTATAAAAGGTAAATCAATGGACTTCATTACATTGAAATTTTGCTTTCTCAAAGTACTGTTAAATGAAAAAGCAAGCCAGACTGGGAAAAATATCTGACAAAGGACTTGTATTCAGAATATATGAGGGACTCAATCCAATTAAAACTGGACAAAAGATTTGAATTAGTCACTCCAGCAAAGAAAGCATATAGGTCTCAGATAAGCTTTTGAGAAGATGATCAGCATCATTAGTGATTAGGGAAAGGCAAGTTAAATCTATAATGAGATACCACCACTCTATAAGTGTTGCTCTATAAGTGTTGATAAGGAGTCAAAGCAACTGGAACTCTCCTGCCCCAGTGATGGGGATGTAAAATGGTACAACCCAGCCATCCCCACCCTTCGTGTTTACCCAAGAGAAATAAAAGCATATGCCCACACAAGAACTTGTACACCAATGTTCTGTCAAAAATCGCCAAAAAAGAGGAAACACTCCAAATGTCCATCAGCAGCTAAATAGTTAAACAAAATTGTATATTCATATAATGGAATGCTATTCAGCAAAAAATAAACATAAAAAGAAGGAACTCCTGGTATACTGAACAATGTGGACAAAAATAGCAGAAAGCAGATCAGTGGTTGCCTGAGCGTGGGAGGCTCTCAGTGGGGATGGAGGGGGAGGGAGAAGTCACAATGGGCACAAGGAAACTATTGGCAATGGTTTTGTGGGTATCTATGTCCAGTCTAATCAAATTACCATGTGCCAACTGAGTAAGAAAGAAAATGTATATGTTTTAAACCACCTTCTGTTGTGGTCAGGTCTCTATCTCAGTTTGACTTACATGCCTTTGTTGTCTGTCTTTGCTCCTGGATCATGTAAGAAATGCCTTAAATTTGTGGGGAATTAGAGTTAACATTTCTAAAATACAAGTTGCAACAACTGATCCAACTTCACATTGACAAGCAGTGGTCACTTCGGTGTCGTCAGTATTTATGAGAGCATAGGGCAATTGGAATTGTTTTGAATTGAGAACTTTGAGGATTGGCAGAAAGAGCTTAAGTAATTCCTATGTCATAGAGTAAGGAAGTCTGACTCAAGAAGGGTGCACCTGGGTGACTGCGCAGGTAAATATTGCTCCTTCATTTCCATGCTCCCCAGAGCCCGGGTGCTACACACTGAGCCTCAGAGTTCTGAGAGCGTGTCTGTCTGGAACACCCAGGGTGTCAACAGTCAACAAGGATATTGAAATTCAGTCAGAGCAAACCAGAGTGATTTGATTCAGACTGGGATATTTAGGGCTTTCCAAGGACAGACTGATCCTACCGTTAGGCTTCAGGACTATTCAGGCCTCTTGGGAATTTTTCTAAGTGGGAAATAAAAAGCCTGTCTCTGTTGGTGTGTCTCTACTTTCCTCTTATATATCCCTTCCAGCCTCAGTTCACTCTATCTGGGGTTTTGTTTTGGGGCTTTCTCTAGGATTTTTGTGGAGTTGGAGAACTGAAGGGCTGTTCCTTACGCATTTCTTTTGTCTTTTGCTTTAGTCTCTAATTACTCACAATGTGACAATTTAACAAGCTGCTCTTTGATGTGGCTAAATAAAATGGCAGGCTGTTTTGCATGTATGTGTGTGTGTGTGTGTAATTTAGATTAGATCCCTTGTTTAGAGAATGTTAATCATGGAAATTGGAATTTTGGAAATCCAGTTGCCCATTGTCCATTGTGTTGAGTCTTGCACTTGCCTTTCACTTTTCCTCCGAATCTCTTCTCTCCCCTTCCCCACAGGAAGAGCATCTGCCACATAGGGAGGAGTCCTTAGATAGGAACCTGGGCATCTTCCTCTCTGGGTGTAAGAGGGACAAGTGGCTGTGGTCTGAGCCTTCACTGGCAGCCTTTGGCAGTTAACACCTATTTTGAAGTCTTCTGGGCTTCCTGCCGCTTTATGGGAGCATTAGCATTTGGTGGACTAACAACTCCCAGGAACTCTCAGGTCCACCAGAGTGCTAGTTGTGTGGTTGTTGCTGGGCACCAGGTTCAAGTAGGTGGACCACTGTTACACTTCACTCTGGCTCAGCTCCAGCAAAATTATATAGTGGTCAATACTCATTTTATAAGACATTCTGATATACTGGGAGAAAGTGAAAGTGAAATTCAGACCTGCTGGTTTTATTTGCTAATAACATTTCTGCCCAGAGGTATGTGTTGGGAGGGTTTACTCTTTTGGACCATCTCAATAACTATTTTTGATGCTGCTGCTCTTACTGCTTCCTTCTCCAGTAGCTATTAGACATCTATCAAAAATGCTTGGTATTTATGTTAATTTTAATATTCATAAGAATATAATTTCTCCGGAATTTGTGTCTTCTGCTAGCCCTTGGCAACTAGGCAAACCTCCAAATAAATATAACATTTCTGGCTTGTGTCCTGATTGTGGACACTTGTCCCTTGTTTATTTCTTAGCATGTGTTTCAGTATCTTAGACATTATATATTCACTAGAGGCCCCATGCATGAAATTCATGCAAGAGTAGGCCTTCCTTCTCCCGGCTGCTGGCACCGGCTTCCCTCTGGCACCCAGGACCTGGGCTTCCCTCGCAGCCCTGGCTTTGTCCTGAAGGTCATTCGGTCTAATTAGCATCTTATGCTTTTATTGTTATAGATTATTATTTATTATTTTCCACAGGAACAACTGTAAACCTACTTTTACCCCACCCTGTATACATTAATTGTAGAAGGAAGAATATCAGAAGTTAATTTCATTAAAACTAATTAGTTCATTTAATGCTAGATCTTGAATGTTATTTTCCTATCTTCAGCCTGTAATATTTTAACTCTAGCCATTCATAAAAATATGAAGTCACCCCCTTTTTAAATGTAAAATTAAACTGTGAAGAATATAGAAGAAAATAAAACTTGGGTTACAACAGAGGAGTCTTTACCTAGGCTTTTAAGGAAAGAGCTCTTCTTCACCTAATATTGACATGTACATGTTGAGGAGATGTGGTAGTTCTTACCATAATTGCCTAACTTCAGGTTTCAGATTCTCTCACTTACAAATTAGATTTCCCCCCTATAATTATTCTATGTTGTCCAAGTAATTTATGAATAAAAGAAGGCTTATTTTTTCTTTAAGACTAAACTGTTTGTTTGCACTTGTTCCAGGAAAACCTCACAGCACCTGTAGCTCTGAACGGATTCAGCTCTCAGGAATGTATAATGTCCGGAAAGGCAAAATGCAATTGCCAGTGAACCGATGGACCAGACGCCAAGTCATCCTGTGTGGGACCTGCCTAATAGTATCATCTGTGAAAGACAGCTTGACTGGAAAGATGCATGTTCTACCACTGATTGGTGGGAAAGTAAGTTTAAAACAAACAGAAAGCTAGCAGGTTTCCCAGCGACATGAAGGAGCTTACTTTAAGCTATTTCTGTAATAATGGGTGGATGGTTTTTGACTCATCTAAGGTCTTATTCAGTTCTTGTACTCCATCAGTGGGCATTGTTGGCCGGTGGAATTGCGGAAAATAACAAAGCCATTACCTCAAATGAGGCTGTGGGTCCTCGCTCCAGTAGTAATGCATCTTAACTACAGGACAGAAAATAGAGAAACTGGAATTTCAGTGCTATAGTGTAGGGTGTAGATGATAAGTTATTACTTATAAGGAAACAGCTTTTGATATCTTGAGCATGTGTTTTCTAGTATATCACAAGTGACCCTTTATGTCCATGCTTAATGAAGTTTAGACTCTAGGTGGAATCTTTAATCCCACTGTGCCATACCCTTCGCATTTAGAGACCAGTGGGATTAACATTTTTAGTTTATCACCATAGCTAGCCATATTTCCGAACTTGAAATGTTAATCATTTTGGAGAAAACCTGTAATACAGCTGATAGATATTTCTAACACTTACGGGCTGTTTCTCTTTGGGTATGTTAACTATTTTATTCATATGTTTTGTAAAATAAAAATAACTAGATTGCTTGGGGAAATGTTACATTCTTTCTTTTGCCAGATTTATTTATAAACTACAAGTGTTGGTAGGCATATCGTTACCAAATTCTATGTATTTCCTGATTTCTAAATGATATGATAATCTGTTAGTAGATGGGAAGGCAAATTTGGATGAAGGAATGGATTTTTGGAAATTGGGGGCATATTAAAGAAATATTTTCTTTACCACCCCTCCCCACTCCCCCCAAATGGGCATGGGAAAGAAGGCGAGATGTGGAGAATATAGAGGAAAAATAAGAAACCAACTTTTGTCAAAGTGAACTTTTTTTGTTTGGCAGATGTGATCTGCTAGTTCCAGGGATTAGAAATGAAGCAGGTAAAACTGGATGTGTGCAGTAATAAATGGTTTGCTGTTCCCCTGCTATGTAGCAAGTTAATTTTTCATTAATAAGTTTATACTAGTTTTTCTTTATGAGTATATAGCCCATGTCAGTTTTTATCCCCCTCTGCTATTATACATTCTAATCCTAAAAAGACTAATAGTACTTGATTACTTAAAAAAATAAAATTTGGCCAGGCTGCAAGGTATATTTCAGTCATCTATTTTGAAACCATTGCATCTTAACTTTTGTCCAAACATTGAAAAATTAGTGATATTTTATTGCTGAAGATTTTGTTCTTTGGATGAATTACTGAAAATTTAGTCAATGTTATTACTCCCATAGGTTGTCATTAAAAATGCATATTTAATGCTTGATACCCCCTTAGGTCAACAGTCTCTTCTGAATGAGGTTAAGGCTTTGTACAGATAAATTTAATGTAATTATTTATTAAATACTAGAGGCCTGGTGCATGAAAATTCATGCACTGGAGGGGGGTTGTCTCTCAGCCTGGCCTGCCCCCTCTCACAGTCCAGGAGCCCTCAGGGGTGGGAGGCAACCCGGTGATCAGGGGAAGGCGATGCCCCATCACACCTCTGCTGCTGCCACTGCCGGCAGCGCAAGCCTCAGACGGCCCTGGTTACCTAAGCTTCGGGTGGCCGCCATCCGAGGCTTGCCTGCGCCTTGGCCTGGCCCTGTGTGGCTGGGGGGCTGAAGGAACTGGGGGTCTCTGGAGGCAGGCGCACAGAGTGAGGCTGCTGCCCTGGTGGGGCTGAGGGGACTGGGCGCCGTCATCTTTGAGGGCGGGGCAGTCAATTAGCATATTCCCTCCTTATTGGCTGTGGGTGCCTCCATCTTTGCGATGGTGTGAGGGTCAATTAGCATATTCCCTCTTTATTAGATAGTATAGTTTAACTGCTCTCCCCTGCTGGCCTGATCCCCGTAACTGCTCTCCCCTGCCTGCCTGATCGCCTCTAACCACTTCTGCCTGGCCCCTGTGGGTTTCTGTCTCTGATCCGGCCCCCAGCAACCCCAGCATCGAGGTGGTGGGGGCCCCCATGTGGGTTTGTGTCTGTGATCTGGCCCCCAGCAGCCCCAGCACCAAGATGGCAGGGGGCTCCCTGTGGGTTTGTGTCTCTGATCCAGCCCCAGCAGCCCCAGCACTGAGGTTGGTGGGGCTTGGTGCTGCTGGGTGCCGACTCTCCTGCAGGTTTGTGTCTCCGATCCTGCCCCTAGCAGCCCCAGCACTGCAGCAGAGGGGCTTGGGGCTGCTGGGTACCAGTCCTGCGGGTTTGTGTTTCTGGTCCCCCAACAGCCCCAGCACTGTGGTGGCTGGCCTTGGGTCTGCTGGGTGCCAGTCCTGCGGGTTTGTGTCTCTGAGCCCCCCAGCAGCCCCAGCACTGTGATGGCGGGGCTTGGGGCTGCTGGGTGCCGGGCTCCCCTGCAGGTTTGTGTCTCCAATCCGGCCCCTAGCAGCCCCAGCACTGTGGTGGCGGGCCTTGGGGCTGCTGGGTGCTGGCCTCCCTGCGTGATTGTGTCTCCCATCCGCCCCCCAGCAGCCCCAAGCACCGCCTGGCTGCTATGGGCATCGCCATCTTTGTTGGGTTAATTTGCATACTCATCCTGATTGGCTGGTGGGCGTAGTGGAATGATGACTAATTTGCATGTTTCTCTTTTATTAGTGTAGATACTCTGTAGGGAAGCCACTTTGATTAGTGTCCCAGAAATACCAAGATGTATAAGTCACCATCCCTGCTTTGAATAGCTTATAGTTTACTCCCCAGAGATGAGGATGACATAACAATATCTGCTCTAGGAGAGGTGAAAAAGTAGTGTGGAAGATTAGTGGTAGGAATACTGCATTTTGTGTGGGGAATCAGAATTTTGTGCTGAAGGAGGTAGCCATTATGATAGAACTTGAAGAGTAAAAAAATCTATTGACATATGAAGGAGATGGTCATAAAGATTATTGTGCTCAGAGAAGCAGAGTCAGGAAAGCAGTGGAATGTTCAGATAAGGTCAGAAGATTCAATTATAATTAGCATTTTCATTCAGAGCTAGACTCTTGTCCTGTTTCCCAGGCCTGTTATTGGATGTACTTCTGCCATTGAGTGAATTGAAAGTTAATAGCTTTTTTTTTCTCACAGACAAACCTTGTAAAACCTGTTTTGCACTATGCCATTAAAAATAATTGAGTATGTTGAAAAACTTTAAGTCTTTTAAAACCCGATGACCAAGTTATGAAAAATAATACACTCTTCCTTTTTTTATTCAGTTGTGTTCTTAAAGGAAAAACAAAGAGTAAGTGGAAAGGTTTTTTTAATTTAATTTTTAAAATTTATATAAAGACTAGAGACCTGGTGCATGAAATTCGTGCATGGTGGGGAAGGGTCCTTCAGTTGGCCTGCACCCTTGGGGGATGTCTGACTGCGGCTGCATGCACCAGTGACCATACTTTTCATACAGGTGAAAGGCATCTTGCTATTGTATGGGCAGCTACATTTTCTTGCCCTGATTATAAAAAGTAGTATATAACATGATCCTTCTGAGGCAGTAGTACCATTTCTCCCATCTTGTGGGTGGAAAAACTGAAGCAAAGAGAAGTAACTGGCTTTGTCACAAAGTAATAAGTGTCAGAATCAGGGCTGACCATAAAATTTACAAGCCAGAGTCCCTGTATGTCATCGCTGCATCATCCTGTATTTTCAGTGTTAGAGCAGCCTTGTCAGGTTTTAATTTTTAAATCTAAGAGACTGTTCCCAATATATAGGGTAGGGTCCCTAGGCCTGGCCAGCAATCAAGACCAATCTGTGGGGCAATTGGCGGGTGGGGTGATCAGAGGGCCCCTACTGGCCCCGCTGGCTGTCTGGCTGCCCTCTAATTGCCACCATTGGTCGCCTCCCTCTTCGGGGCGGGGGGGAGCAGGGGGAGGGCAGACACTCAACTCAGGAGCAGCAACTGTGGTGAGCGTCTGCCTCCTGGTGGTAAGTGTGCATCATAGTGACTGGTCATTCTGCCATTCATTGCTCTGTTCGATTAATTTGCATATTAGGGTTTTATTATATGGGATAGCTTGTAATGAGTGTTACATACATTGGTCATAACCTAGACATAATTGTTGTAATCAAATTTGACATACACTTGAACATGATTGTTTGCATTTTAAATTAGAATTCCAAATGTGAAGTAAAATAAAGCTCTCTTAATTTAATTGATGAAAAGGGTATTTGTGTAGTAGAGAAGTTTTTATTCATTGAACAGTTATGTTGTATTTAATTTGTTCTTAGGAATTTAATGTATTTTTATATGCATTTTATTTAATATTTGCTAAATTATGATGGATAATAAATTGAATACTTGTTAACTTACTATTCACGAAAAGTAGCAGAATCAATACCAGTGTTTCTACTTGTGTTCTCGTTTTTTTTTTTACTTTATTATTTATTTATTTATTTATTTACCCTCACCCAAGGATATTCTTCCATTGATTTTTAGAGAGAGTGGAAGGGAGGGAGGAGGGAGAGAGGGAGGGAAGGAGAGAGAGAGAGAGAGAGAGCGAGAGAGAGAGCGAGAGAGAGAGCGAGAGAGAGAGCGAGAGAGAGAGCGAGAGAGAGAGCGAGAGAGAGAGCGAGAGAGAGAGCGAGAGAGAGAGAGAGAGAGAGAAAGAGAGGGAGAAACATCGATTGGTTGCCTCCCACACGCACCCTGATGTGGGCTAAGGGTGAAGCATGCAATCGAGGTATGTGCCCTTGACAGGGAATCAAATCCACGATCCTTCTTACCACTGAACAACACTGGGCAGGGCTAGATTTTAGTTTGTTTACTAGAGGCCTGGTGCACAAAAATTTGTGCACTTGGGGCCGGTCCCTCAGCCCGGCCTGCACCCATTTGCAGTCCAGGAGCCCTTGGAGGATGTCCACCTGTCGACTTAGGCCCACTCCCCGGAGGATCAGGCCTAAGCTTGCAGTCAGATAACCTTCTGGCAGCCAGGGAGCCCTTAGGGGATGTCCGACTAAAGGCTTAGGCCCCCAAGGGATCTGGTCTAAACAGTTAGTTGGACAGTCTTAGTGCTGCCATGGAGGTGGGAGAGGCTCCTGCCACCACCTCTGCATTGGCCAGCCATGAGCCAGCTTCTGGCTGAGTGGCACTCCCCACGTGGAAGTGCACTGACCACCAGGGGGCAGCTCCTGCATGGATAGTCTGCCTCCTGGTGACCAGTGCACATCATAGCAACCGGTCATTCTGCCGTTCAGTCAATTTGCATATTAGCCTTTTATCATATAGGACTAGAGACCCATTGCATGAATTCGTGCACAGGTGGGGTCCCTTGGCCTGGCCGGCATTATTGGCATATCATATGTGTCCTTCACCCAATTTCTTAGGCGTTAATAATTTAAACATAACCATTATACAACTAACGGAATTTGGAATATATTTTTCTTATAATCTCTTTAATGTTACTTAATCCACTTACTTTGTTTTTGTTAATCTTCACCCAAGGATATTTTTCCATTAAATTTTAGAGAGAGTGAAGGGCAAGGGAGAGACACATTGATTGGTTGCCTCCTGCACATGCTCTGATAGGGACTGGGGATGTAGCCAGCAACTGAGGTACATGCCCTTGACTGGAATCGAACCTGGGACCCTTCAGTCCACGGGCTAATGCTCTATCCACTGAGCAAAACAGGCGGCAGCTTAATTCATTTACTTTTAATCTATATGTGTCTTTATATTTAAAGTGGGTTTTGTTTTTGATTCACCCTCATAATCTGTCTTTTAATTGGTGCATTTATGCCACTGACTTTCAGAGTGCTTACTGATAGAGTTACTGCCATATCAGGCGGCTTCTGGGGCTTCCGGGGCCAGCCTGCGGCCCGGGATCGAATCCGATCATGGCGGCAGGCAGGCAGCTTCTGGGGTCGCACACGGGGGGGCCTAGATGGTGACTCCCCGCTGGCGGCTCGTGTTGTCCCGCCTTGCCTGCAATATGCAAATTAGCCGCCATTTTCTGGTGGTTAATTTGAATATTGTGCTGATTAGCCATTGGGAGGTGTATTGAAGGTACAGTCAATTACTATGTTTGTCTATTATTAGGTAGGACACTATTACAGGTGTCCCCATTTTTCCCCTTTTGCCTACCTCTACCCAGTCCCTCTGCCCCTCCCCCATTTTCCCCTGGCCATTACCACACTGTTGTGTTGTCTGTTTATATGGGTTATGCATATATATTCTTTGGCTAATTCCATCTACTTGTTTCTCTTTACATCTGTTCCATTGTCTCCACAACAGGTATCCACTGTCCTAGAATATGTATTCATTTTCTTAAATAAGTTTTATCATGTAACTATGTTGTGCTAGGTTTTGCTCTGAATAAGAATGGCATTGTACTGTGTGTGGTCTTCTGTGAGTGAAGTTTTTTCACTCAGTATTAAGTTTTATAATGAGAGTCTATGTTGCTTGCTATATGTGGTTTTTATTTTGGTATAATATTCCACTCTGTAAATGTTCTAAATTACCATAATTTCTGAATAAATTTTTCTCTTGATGGACATTTGGGTTGCTTCTAGTTTTTCATTATTTTAAATAATGCTGCTGAAATAATCTTATGTTTATATGCCTCCTAGTATGCAAGTAGTGTTTCTAGGGCAGTAGTTTCCAAGTAGATTACTGTGCTTAAGGGGACATTTGGTAATATGTGTGTGTGTTTTAATTGTCAAATGATTAAACAGTCAGCCTTATCAAGGATGTAAGCTAAGCTATGCGGTGGTAACAAAACCCCCCACATCTCAGTGACTTATCATAGCAGTTATTTCTCACTCACACCATATGTTCATTGTGGATTGGTGGGGATTTCTTTTTTTTTACATAATTGTATAGGGACCCAGCCTGATGGAGGCTCTGCTCTCTTATAACATTTAGAACATGAGGCCTTCCTTTGTTGCTTAGGCAGGGAAAGGGGTAACTGAAGGGTCATTAACCACCAGCTCATGTATATTTGGCTGCAAAAGTGACACATGCCACTTCTGTCCGCATCTCATTTGCCAGAACTAGTCACATGACTCCACCTTAATTGCAAAGGGTCTGGGAAATGGAGAAATAGATGAGTATATGGTTAATATCAATATCTTAGCTATAAGGGTACTCTGTTGGCACATACAGGGCAGGGACTTAGAGAGTAAAATGTCAGGCAAAGTATTAGTCCTTCACAATGTACAATGAAGAACTGCTCAATCCATAATTCCTATAGGTTACTATAATTTAGCAAAGTGGCTGGATATAAGACAAAACTAAAAAATAAACTGGTTACTATAGGAATTTTGACCTCCTTTCTTGAGAAATATTGCTCTTGGACACATACTTAGTGCAGTTATTGGGATATAGAGCATATGTATATTTACAAAGTGATGGCAAATTATTTTTCATAGTTATTGTGCCATTTTACACTCACATCATTGTACAAGTGTTCTCGTTTCTCTATAGCTTCACTAAACTTCACTGAGGTATAATTAACATACAATAAATGCACATTTTGATAACCATTTTATAATTGTATACTCCCATGATTGCAATTTGATAGCTATGTACAACTGTCACCACAATCAAGATAGTGACCATATCACCTCCACAAGTTTTCTTGTGTTCCTTTGCACCCCTTCCCTTCTACCTTTTTCCTCTCACTTCTCCCCATCCCCAAGAACCACTGGCCTGATTTCTGTCAATAAGGATTAGTTTAAATGTTATAAAAACAAAATTTTTTCTGTAGTGTTTAGAAATATGGTTTGTTTTTTAGTGTTGTCTTATATCCAGCCACCTTGCTACATTTTCTTATTTGTTCTAATATGATGTTTATAGATTCTTTGGAGTTTACTATGTAGCTAGTAATGGCATATCTAAATAATGACAATTTTATTTCTTCCTTAATACATTTCTTTGTCTTATTGTAATGGCCAAAACTCTAGTGTGGTATTGAAAAGAAGCAGTAGATACTTGTCTAACCAATGATTTTAAAGAGATTGATATTAACATTGAAGTTTGCCTTAGATGTTTAGGACAGAGTTTAGGTTAATAGGACTTAGATAAATACCCTTTGTCAGCTCAAGGGAATTATTTGTGTTCTTAGTTTGCTAAGAGTTTTTATTATGAATGATGACTGGTTAGTGAATGTTATCATATGCTTTTTTTTCTGCAACTGTGGGCATAATCATAGGATGTTCTTCTTTAATCTATTCATGTGATTAATAATTCTATAGTTCCAATAATAATGCTAAAACATCTTTCCTTTCCTGAGCTAATTCTAACTTGTTCTTGATTTTTTTTCTATATTACTGAATTCTGATGCAATATTTTGTTCGAGATAAGTGTTCATGACTGAGATTGGCTTGTAATTTTCCCTTCTTTTATGTCCTGATCTGTTTTTTGTTATAGTGGTCTTATTAGAATAGGTTGGGGTTTCTTCATTTTTTGTTTGGTGGATGAGTTTGCACAAGTTGGGAATGATCTGTTTCTTATAACTTTGGTAGAACTCAACCATAAAACCTGGTATTTTGAGAGGTTTAAAAAATTTTAAGTTTACATGGTGACAGATGGTTACTAGCATTAGTGGGGTGATCATCACATTGTAAGGTATAAAAATTCCAATCACTATATCGTACATCTGAAATGAATGTAACTAATGTAAGATTGCAAATAAACTGTACTTGAATAAAAAAAATAATTTAGAAAATATGCATAATTTAGTGGTGGTAAAACATATTTTTCTAAAAATTTTTCAGAAACTTGCTTATAAGCTTGCTTGGAAATTTGATTTGACTATATCACTGCATTATTAGGAATTTGAAAGTTGTCACGGTAAGGTTTTATTTTAGGTGAGTTTCACATTAAATAAAAAAAAAAACTTAACATGCCTGAAAGTTATAATTCAGGGTAATACAAAAGGTTGTAGTTCAGAGTAAAAAGGTTGTAATTCAGAGTAATATAAAAGTTCTTTAAGTAAAAATCCACCCAAAGTAAAAATTCTTAAGTAAAAATCCTTCCAAGTGGAACTAAGAACCCCAACATCCTATTGTGAGAATATAGAAAGATAAGGAAGAGGGAACCTATTCCAGTTTTAAACAGGAAAAAGAATTTCACTATTGTGGGGAAATCTAATGGAGATAAAACTCCCCTTTTTTGGCTTACTTGTTACTCAAATTGGTTTATCAGACACGGGTTAAAATAATAGGAGAAATATATATAGAGAGGGGAAGATACAAATTTGTGCAGGCTCGCTTATTAAGGCATAGTTAAAGAAATGTAGATGATCCTGCTTTCTTACTTGTTTTTGTCTCTTTGTTTTTATAGGTAGAAGAAGTGAAAAAGCACCAGCACTGTTTAGCATTTAGCTCCTCTGGACCCCAAAGCCAGACTTACTACATTTGTTTTGATACATTCACAGAGTATTTAAGGTGGCTTCGACAAGTCTCTAAGGTAAGCACTTACCCAAGAATTCTTCTGTTCAGCTTCTCTTTGATGAAAGAATTGCTTTCTTTTAGCTTTACCCAGCTCCAAAATACATCATTTTTTTTTTCATATACTTCTGGTAATTGGCAATTTTTCATTTTTTAAAAGCTCATTTGGGCTGAAAAGTAGCTTTTAGAAAGTGTGTTCTGTTTGCCAGGTTTTGTTTATACTTTTAAAAAGAATTTAGTGGGTAGTTTGGCATCACTATATTAATGTCATAGATGAGAAACATGAGGTTGAAACGATTTAAAAGACTGGCCCAGGGAAGACAGCTGCAAAACCACAAAATACCCAGAGAATTGTCACAAATTTCCCCTCGTCCTCTGACTATTTTTTCTTGTAAGAGTCTAATCTTATGTCATCTCCCTTTTTCAACTTCTGCCTTTTGAATGGTTTAATTTTTTTTTCATATTCATTATTTTGACAATTTTATATACTGGCAGTCCCCTAAAAAAGATCACCATGACCCATGAAACAATATACTTGTGTGTGTAAAATGGAAACCAGAATAGCATGATAAATAAGGTAAATAAATGCTAGGATTATAAGGTACTGTGTGTGAGGATGTTTTTATATCACAATTATCGAATGATGTGTAAAATGGATGAATTATAGTGCTTTGGCTCTTGGTTTTGGGTGTATTTATGAAATGATGAAACCTCTCTAGGGTACAAAAGCATGACTGTGGAATTTGCTTTCATAGTTTTGAATTTATAATCTAATTTGTTATCCAAGTTCAGTATGATTCAGACTGCAGTTTGATGGTAATTATTTGTCAAGTGAATGAATAGGGAATAACTTTGTAAAATGCTTAACAGAAAATTAGAGAATAATGTTTAGGAAGTCTTTTTGAAATACTAGTTACATTTGAATGATCAATTTAAGACATTCTCTGATGATGTGATACCCTTAGAAACAGTAGTTTCTGCTCCTTTCAGAGAAGAAGCAGTGGGCAGAGTTTAGGTTGATAGGACTTGGAAGAGTCTGACAACCTGGTAGGCAGATGGAAGTTCTAAATGACAGGGTAGCACCCACATTAGAGAAGAGGGAAGGATGGCATGTCTTCTTCTGATCTGCATGTAGAACTAAGGTGATATTAGAGGCAAAAAGCACATCTGTCTGATTGTTTTGAAATTACTCTTGTGGTGGCAAATGTGAATAAGAGTTAAATAATATTGTGCTTTTATATTTAAGTGTTTGTATAGGCAGTAAGTCAATGGCCCACACTCTGCTTTTGACCATAGTTTTGACTATGCAAAACTATGGTCAAAGTACAGTATATTTTTTTGTATGTGGAGTTGTCGATTTTTTAATATAAACTTTTTATTTTGGAATAAATTTCTGTTTACAGAAAAGCCTCAAAGATAGTACAGAGAGTTTCCACATACCTTTCACCCAGTTTCCCAAACATACAGTGCATTTATCAAATCTGAGAAATCAACATGAGTCCATTTCTCTTAACTAAACTCTGGAGTGTATTTAGATTTCACTAGTTTTTCCATTCTTCTCTTGTCCCAGCATCTAATCCATGGCATTTGGTTGTCATGTCTCCTTTGTCTCCCTGGTCTGGGACAGTTTTTCAGTCTTTGTGTTTTTATGACTTTGATGGTTTTGAGGAGTACTGGTCAGGTATTTTATAGAATGTCCTACATAGAGGTATTTTGATCTTTCACACTAAATGCAGTGTAATAGGCAGCTGCTTCACATTCTTTTTGGAACAAATCGGAGGCATAATTTCTTAAACATGAATAAGGATGTAAATAAAAGTATATGTAAATTATCAACCTTACGAAAGACAGATTGTTTTGATTTAAACAATAATAACAAAAAGATGAATAGGTATTGAGTTTAATAGTGTTGTATATTAAACATCCATACAAATGATAAGTCACTGTTCAGAAGCCAGCAAGTATTTATTCTATATGTCAGGTATGCGTTTTATGCATTGGGATACAGCAAAGAACAAATAAAATTCCCCTCTCTTGGATGGGCTTACACTGGGAGACAGGCAATAAATAAGTAAACAGACAAAAGAAAAAATATCAAATCATCGAAGTTTTGTACTACAAGGTCATATGACAAAGAATGACAGAGGAAGAATAGCTCTTCTGAGGAGGGGACTTTAAACGGAAACTTCCATGAAAAAAAGAATCTGATTATTGAAGATCTGGTGGAAGGAGCTTTGGGAGAAGATCCTGTTGAAAGCTCTAAAACTGGAAGGAGGGACCGAAAGGCCAGGAGTCTTATGTTATAGACCAGGGTAAAGAGGCTGAATTTTATTATTGGCATAATGGCAAGTCATTAAATAATTTCCTTTCAGAAAGTTACCGACCTGACATTGGCTGTTGTGTGCAAAAGAGATGTGTGGGGGGCAAGGATGGAAGCAGGGAGGCCTGACCAATGAGAGGCTCTTTTGGTGTATACGAGGCAGGAGGCGAGGGTAGAAATGGAGAGACTTCGATAGATTTCTTTTGAAAACTGAGCGACAGGATTACTGATGAATTACATATGGAGTGTGAGGAAAACGGAGAAATAAAGAGTGGTTTCTGGGATCTTTGAGTTACTGGATAAATTGTAGCATCAGGCAGAAATCATAGCATAATCAGACTTTTTATATTTGCACCTTTAATACTGTAGCAAAATGCAGTTCTTAACTTCAGAGGGCTTTCTGGAGAGTCAGCAGAGAGGTGAAGCACAAGAGGTAGGATATGAAATATCTCTTAAAAGGATGTGGAAAATGTTGATTTCTAAATTGTTGCTGGTGATTGTAAATGTCTTATTTATAATCTGGGTTAATGCTCCTTTCTGTTGCTGGTTGGCCAAAATGCCATCTCCATGGTCTAATACAGTGGTCGGCAAACTGCAACTCGTGAGCCACATGGGGCTCTTTGGCCCCTTGAGTGTGGCTCTTCCACAAAATACCGACTTCTGCACATGGGCCACGTAGTTTCAGTTGCACTGTACATGCATGCCTGCACGTGATATTTTGTAGAAGAGCCACACTCAAAGGGGCCAAAGAGCCGCATGTGGCTCATGAGCCGCAGTTTGCCGACCACTGGTCTAATAGGATAGTGCATCCTATATAATAAAAACCTAATATGCAAATCGACTGAATGGCAGAACGACGGATCGCTATGACACGAAATGACCACCAGGGGACAGACGCTCCCACAGGGGGAGCACTGCTCAGCCAGAAGCTGGGCTCACGGCTGGAGCCTGATAGTGGCAGGAGCCTGTCCTTCCTCCACTGTAGGTGGGTGGTAAGGAGCAAGGGCTCCTGGACTGTAAGAGCCCCAGACTGCGAGAGGGATGTATGACTGCTTGCTTAGGCCCTATCCCCAGGTGTGACGGGCCTAAGCCAGCAGGCGGACATCTCCTGAGAGGTCCCGGATTGTGAGAGGGCCCAGGCTGAGCTGAGGACCTCCCCCCACACACACACACACAGTGCCGATTTTTGTGCACCAGGCCTTTAGTCTAGAAAAAGGCTCTCACTCTGTGATTATCCAAACCTCTTAATAGGAAGGTAGATGATGTGGGGGGAACTGTGAGGCAGAGAACATGACTGTGGTAAGAAAGGGGAGAGGAATGTTGGTGTGATTTTTCCATTTCACTGATTATTGCCATTAGAAGGGTTTGATATGTATGTGCTGAAATGTAATATAGCTATTTGCAAAAGACAATTCACACACATAGACATACACAAGATTACAGCTTACACTTCATACTTATAAGTCATTAAGAATGGCAGACATTGGGAAGAAAGATTTCTTCCTGAAAAGTCAGGAATGGAGGACTAAGGACAGAACATTTTAGTAATTAGCAGATGTTAGATACAGGATCTTCCCTTTCTCCAATCTTAAAAACCAGGTACAAAAAATTTTATAAGTTGTTATGGTTAGTGAATTAAAGGGGAAATGAGTCATAAAGGGTTGATTAAAGAGGTTAGATACTATTGAGGAAATAAGTGAGAATGCCCTTTGGATATGAATCCTACATAAAATATGGTCACATGTTCCTTTAAACTTTGTATTTTGTTGATAGTCCTAAGAGAGTATCTTTTTCTTCAATCCAGCATCCTGGGAGAGTAGGTTGGGGCTGCTGGAAAAATGATGAGAACCTCGCTCCATCTGGGAGTATGTGCTGATGGGAAATTTGGGGTGGCAAGGCCTGACTTGTCTAAGCCACTTCTTCTTCCAACTTCCCCTTTCCATTGTCCTCTGTTCTTCCTCATGTGGGGGTATCAAGTTTAGTCACACTCCGGAGTTACTATGGAAATTGTTTCTTTTTCTTCTGATTGAGAAATGAAACTGCACAGAATGGATTGTCTTTACATCCTAATATTTAAATGAAGAGTCATTCATTTTGATGAGGATCTAAAAGGATAACAAACCCAACAACAGAAATACCTGGGTTTCTGATTTTCAATGACCATCCCCACCCCAGTCAGTCCAGTGTTTTTAAAATTAAAATGAATTAGAATCTATAAAAAAAAAACGTAATATGCTAATTAGACCAGACAGCCAAATGACCTTCTGGATGACCTTCTGGACATCATTACGGATGCCTTTGCAGATGAAGCTGTGGGGGCTGAGGCAGAGGCGGTTATGGGAGATCAGCCAGGAAGGCAAGCAGTTAGGGGTGATCAGGCATGCAGGCAGAGTGGTTAGGGATGATCAGGCAGGCAGGCAGAGTGGTTAGAGGTGATCAGGCAGCCAGGCAGGCAAGCGGCTAGGAGCCAGAGGTCTTAGATTGTGAGAGGTCGGGATCGGGCCTAAACCAGCAGTCAGACATCCCCCGAGGGGTCCCAGATCGCGAGAGGGTGCAGGCCGGGCTGAGGAACCCTTCCCCTTTTACGCCCCCATGCACGAATTTCATGCACTGGGCCTCTAGTCCTATGTAATAAAGAGGGAATGTGCAAATTCACCGTCACTCCGCCACAAAGATGGCTGCACCCACAGCTGAGGCTG